GCCCGCTGCAAGGAAGGGACCATGAGAGGTTGGCCCTGCAAGGGAGGTTGGCTGTGGGAGTGCACTAACCACCAGGGGGCAGTTCCTGTGCTGAGCGTCTGTCTCCTGGTGGTCAGTGTGAGTCATAGTGACTGGTCGACCTATCATTTGGTCATAATAGCTGCTTAGGCTTTTATATATATATAGATAGTATGGCTATACTCTGATACTGGATAAGGTGAACCTATCTGGAAACTGTAAAAATAATCATTATTTCATAATAAATGTCCTTTTATCACACATATACACATTCTTTCAGTCTAAATATGCTTATTTTGTTTTATTTTTTTGTTTCAATGAAGGTTTGTTCTATTTTATTGATTAGCTATGATTAGGAGCACTAGGCCTCATGGAATAGATCTTTTTTATATTTCTGCAGCCAATGCTAAGATCTGATGTTAAGGGTTTGAAGCAAAGAAAGAATGAAAAGGGGAGGTGGAAATAGAACCTAGTGGCTTTATTTTTTTGGAGATTTTAAAGCATTTTGATAATTTTTAAAATTTACATACAGATAATTCTCTTTTTTGGTATACAGTTCTGTATGCCTTAACACCTACAGAAATGTTTCTAACCGCTGCCACAAACATGACACAGACTATTCTATCACCTGAAAAAATCCTCATTTTTTCAGTCAAACCCCCATTTACAGTCAAACCCCCTTTTACTCCAACACTTTTACCCACCCACTCACTTTTACAGCCACTCATTTCCTCTCTATCACTATAATTTTGTCTTTTCCAGGATGTCAGACAAATGGAATCATATAGCATGTATCCTTTTGATACTTATTTCTCTCACTCAATATAGTGTATTTGAGATTCACCATATTTTGTACCTATCCATTCCTTTTTATTGCTAAGTAGTATATCATTTTGATTAGTGTTTGCATAATATTTCTTTCCCCATCATTTTACTTTTAATTTATCTACATCATTTAAATTATCTACATCAACATGTGGTTGGGTCCTGGGTGTTTTTTGTTTTTTTTTTTTAAATTCAGTCCAACAATCTCCAGCTTTTAATTAATGAGTTTAGATCATGTTTATTTAGTGTAAGCATTTATATGGTTGGATTTAGACTCACCATTTTATTACCAATTTTCTATTTGCTCTCTTTTCCAAAATTTAAGGGCAAAAAATATTTTTATGAAAGTATATTTTTATTTATCAGTTGGTTTTTATTATACCTATTTGTACAACTTTTGTAGTTGTTGCTTTAGGTGATGTAATAATATACATACCTAACTTTTCTCAGTTTGCTTAGAATTCATAATTTACCACTTGAAGTTAAGCATAGAGACCACATAACTATATAAACCTCTTTAACTTAACCATTTATATCATATAATTGAACCTGAATATATTCAATACTATACCCATAAGACAAGTTGTAATTCTTTCTTTCAACAATCATTAAAGAGTGTGGATGTTACATGGACTCGCATGCCATCCTTTCATTGGGGCCATCCTATCTTCTCCGTATTGCTACAAAGTGAGCATTGAACATATTTTTGACATGCTTTTCTGGTAAATATTTATTCAAAATTTGCACCAAATTTGTGTAACTATGATTATTAGAAGTACAGTCTATGATCAAGGAAGTGTTTTCTCTGAAGAAATCTAGACTTGATTCTAACTGAGATTAAGCTTTGATATTCAAAGGTGAAAAATGAAGTCTTTTTATCTTGAACTAAAGCAGAATTTAAAACTAGAAACATTTTATGGCCAAAGCTGATTTTTTTTTTCAACATGAAGGTTTATAAATTATCAGTTATTTTTAGGGGTGTCCAAATGGGGAGTGTTATCTATAATAGAAATTAAAAAGAAACTTTTCCATTTTCCAATAAGCAGCAGATATTTGGATAAGATGGAATGAAAGCAAACTCTGCTAGGTTTGGGAATTTAAAAGGTAGAGGTCACACCACACATTGTTTAGATCATAGCCAGGAAAGTGATCACATGTGTAAAGCATCTTTCAAACAAAAACCTCGCTGTACTTTTATACATATAATTTTATTTATCTCTGCCACATCGCTATTGCAAATATTGTCCACACTCCAGGCCAGGACAGTGATGAGTCTGTGTAGCGCGCAGTGAGGGGACCAGTCTCCCTCTGTAACCTTGTCCTTCCCACAGCATGCAGTCATTAGCTCAGAATGTACAGCCCTGAAGGTTTCTCTAAGGGCTTTGGTGATGTAAGCCCAAAACCATGGAGGAGGAGGGAAACGAAGCCTCACCTTGATGAAGCTATTGTGTTTTGTGTGGGGTGCCAAGCTGGGGTTGGTGACTGATTCTTCAATGAGGAGACACGAGTTTATGGGCAAACAGCCTGCCATAAAGGGCGGTCAGGAGACCTTGCCATCTTCTCTGCCTGTCAGATACCTGACATTCAGGACGGTTTGGCTGAAGTACTTTCTGCTGTAGGAGGCCTTTTCCTTCTCCACCTCAGTCATGGTGAATAATCCCTCTACATGCTGACTTAGGTAGCACCCCCATCTGCCTAATTCATGTGACAGCCTTAGTTTTCCTTTCATGTGACCACTACTCTGAAATGGATTTTAATTTCTATTAAGACAAGGGCAGTGTCTTATTTCCACAAAGTAGCTTGTATGTACTGAGTTTGGAAGAGTGGCTGAGAGCACAGGCTCAGTCTTCCTGGGTTCAAATTCTGACTTCAGCATTTCCCAGCTGGATGGCTGGGGGCAAGTTACTGAATCATCTATGCATTGGTTCCCCCACTTGTAACATGGAAATAACACTATCTGTAAAGATTAAACAAGTTAAGACATGTAAAGTACTTAGTACTTTTTTCCTGGTACATAATCAATACTATTACTTATTTTGCTTTTTTGCTAATTCTCACCCGAGGTATTTTTCCATTGATTTTTATTTTTTTATTTTTTTATTTTTTTAGATAAAGTGGAAGGGAGGGATAGAGTCAGAGAGAAACATCAATGTGAGAGCAACACATCCATTGGTTGTCTCCCACACCAGCCCCAACCAGGGCTTGGGATTGAACCTGCAACCGAAGTACATGCCCTTGACCAGAATCAAACCTGGGACCCTTCAGTCCATGGGCTGACGCTCTATCCACTGAGCAAAACTGGCTAGGGCAACTATTACTAATTTTTATCATCAAATGATTATTTTTTTTAAATAAAGCTCTGAAAAAAATTGTATTTGTAAATAAAGCAAGACAGAGCACAAACAAGATTAGCTAACAAGAAGGCAAAGGAAACAGTGGGGGTGCTACCTAAGTCAGCATGTAGAGGGATTATTCACCATGACTGGGGTGGAGAAGGAAAAGGCCTCCTAGAGCAGAAAGTACTTCATCCCAGAGTTTGACCAGAGTTCAGATGTAAAAGACCTAGTGCTTGTTTTTAATAGAAATGAAGGGTGGCAATATAAATTGGTACAACCACTTTGGAAAACCATCTGGCAGAATTTATTCAAGCAGCACCTTCGCATACTCTACAGCCTAGCAATTCCACTCCTAAGTATGTACCTAACAGAAGAGTGTGCATGTATTCACTGAAGGATGTTGACAGATAGAATGTTGTTGGCAACAGTAACCATGGTAGTCATTAACTGGAAACTATGCAAATGCCCATAAACAGAAGAATGGATAATATGTTGTGCCGATAAAAGTGGGCGATTGACACCTGCACACAGCAGAATAGACGAATCTCACAAATGAAATGTAAGATTCCAGGCATTTTTTCTCTAAGTGTATCAGGCTTCACTTAAAGGCAAACAGAAAACAGAAATAAGAGTAGAGGGGGTGGGGGTGGGGGAAGAATAAAAAGCAAAAGAAAAAAAAAAAAAAGAAAGAAAAGAAATAACAAGCCCGGAAGGTTAAAGACAGGGATTCTTGGCTCAGCCATACCTGATCAGGTTGGCTCATCCCGCACCCCTGACTCTACTGGCCCAGCAGGAGGATGGCCAATGCCCTGTGTTGGGGTCTTTCCTTCCCTCTCCCTCCCCCCCTCCCCCCCCACACACACACCAACTCTCTCTTCTGAGCATTGCTAAGGCAGGAAGGGCCTTTTCCAGGGGATAACGCTGGTAGTATGTCATTTGAAGGAGGTTAAGCATCATCATTGAAACTTGATTTTTTTTTTATTACAATGGCTTTATTTTTTTTGAAGTCTATGCAATTATTTCATTTATTTATTTTTTATTGTTTGAAGCATTATAAATAGTAGTACATATGTCTCTATCCCCCCTCCTTGACCTCTCCCCCAGCCTCCCTTACCCTAGCATATGTCTTTACCTGCCCCCACCCCAGTGTCTTGTATCCATTGGTTATGTTTATATGCATGCATACAAGTCCCTCGGTTGATCTCTTACAGCCCCACCCCACCCCCAACCTCCCTTGCCTTACCCCTGTAGTTTGACAGTCTGCATCATAGAAACTTAAAAGGTGTAAAACCATCCCTTCTCTCCTTTCTCTTCTCTCAACCCCCTTCTCCCTTTCCTAGGACATCCTCTGGGCCCCGCTGGCGGCGGGACCCGCTGGGTCCACGCCTCGCGCCCGGCGGGGTGGCCAGTCTCGGGGGCGGCCCCGCGGCTCGCGGAGCGCCCCTCCCGCCGCACCCCAGCTGACCCCGCCCCGCGGGCAACGGCTATTTTGGGCGCGTTGGCAGCGACGGCGGGATCGCTGACAGGCGCGGATCCTGTGACACCTCCCGCAGGCAGCCGGCACTTGTTGCTCAGGGACCTGCTGCCATCCCTGCACCTCCCGCTCCCGGGGTTCTCTCCTTTTCACGCGCGTTACCCGGGACCGGTCCTCGGGCATCGCGGTCCGGGGCTGGAGGTATAGAAAAGGGGGCGACCACCTAACCAGGGCGCCGCTCCGAAGGGGGGCCCCTCCGGGCAGGAGCAGGAGCGCAGAGCGCTGGCCCGGGCGCCGCAGGGCTGGCGCCTCCCCGACCCGGGACGGTGGCCCCGGGCGCCGACGGCATGACGGACTCGGCGACAGCCAACGGGGACGACAGGGACCCCGAGATCGAGCTCTTTGTGAAGGTAGGTCGGCGCCCGGGCCCCCCCCCCCCCCCCGCACCTGCGCCGGCTCACGTGCACCCGTGCACCCTCCCCAGGGAGCGCAGCCCGGCGGGCCCGGCCCCGGCAGCCCGTCTGCAAGCCCGAGCCTGGCCTCCGGGCTCCGGGGCGGAGGGAGCACGGGGCGGTCTGGCAGGTGTCTGGCTGGCTGTCTTCTTGGAGAGTTGTTGTTGGCCGGCAGTTTGTCCAAGCGGCCGCAGGACAGGCGGTCCCCGCGATGGGTCCCGAGCCCTGCCCGCGGGATGTCGGCTTTCCTTGAGGGGCATCCTCAGGTGTAGGGAGAGGTTAAGAGCTTGGGTGGACCCGTTAACCTATCTTCTAAAACTGTGTGTGTGTGTGTGTGTGTGTGTGTGTGTGTGTGTGTGTGTGTGTGTCTGTGTGTGCGCGCGCAATAAAAGGAAGCATCGGTGGTCATTACCTTTGGCAAAGCAAAAATAACATTTCTTAAAAGCCTCTTTCCATTATTCAGAGCCAAAGGGGAGCACATGGAAACAAAAGATGTTTGCTTGCGTTGTTCCCTGCAAAGCAGAAAACCAAACACTCCATTCCTCCCAACATTAGTCTTGTCGTGATCCTGGTTCTGCAGGGCGGTGTCAGGAAACGCTCAGGGCTGGACAGGTCGGTCAGCCCGGGCAGGCTGGCGTGCAGGGGCGCAGGGAAAAGTCACGAGCCGCCCCGCTCCCTAGGCAGAAGCAGCGTCACGCCAGAGCCGCTCACTTGGTTTGCAACCTGTGGGAGGAAGGATGGAAGCCGCCGCACGTTTCCTGGCCGCCGGCGTAATAAGAAAGAAACATTTGATCGGTCCTCGGGTGCGTCACCGCAGAAGCTGGGAAACCTGAGGCGGCGGGAGCGTTGCCTCCAGGGTGGTGCAGAGTCGCCAGGACTTGGGGGAGGGGAAGTCTGCAGGCTGCCCGAGAGCCCAGACCTTTCACAAAGGGGGAGGAAACCCTTCAAATGCAAAGTTTCTCTAGAAATATGCAGATCGGAGGGAAGGCTAGGGTCCCTGAAATGTAAATGGCATGTGTATTTCCTGGATCAGGGAAGCGATCTGTCCTAGTTGGCTCAGGTGCCACGAGGATTTGTTAAAATTTTCCCACTGGGTTTTACATTCATCCTCTCTCTCTTTCTCCCGCCCTCCTTCTTCTCTCTCTCTCTTTCTTTCCCTCCCTCCCTTTTTTCGTCCCTCCCTCCCTCTCTCCATCCCTCCTTCCCTCTTTTCCTCTCTCCCTCTCTCCCTCCCTCTTTTCTCTCTCTCTGTGTTTAATTATCTGTAAAAATTACACCCGTCATTTAGTGATACTTGCTTTTCTCAGCCTGTTTCTCTCCCCTCAACTGTGGCTTCTGCTGCCCTCATTTGGTTTCTGGGACCCCTCTGGGTAGGATTTCCAGGACCTCTGGCAGACCCAGGTAATGAGAGGGGTCTTGTCCCCTGGGAGGCTGAGCAGAGTGGGCCTCAGTGGTGACCTGAGCCTCAGCCTCCAGGCCTGCGGCGTGGGGAGTGAATAGGGAGGGCTCTAACAAAGCCCGGAGTCTTGCTGCTCTCCTTGAAGAAAGCTATTCTGGGACTTTCTCAGATTCCCTGGGAGCAGGTAGTTTCACAGTGTCAAGTTCCTGAAAGATATTTGAAACACAAATTGACTCTTTAGAGCCAAAGAAACCCTGTGCCCCACTCCTAGGTGTGGAGACCAATTCTCCTGGCACCTTTGGAATTTCTTGTTGGCAGCTTTGGAGGTTTTCTCCATTTATGTAAAAAGCTCACTGCACAGCCGCTCTGCCCCCAAAGAATTCTAAAATGCCCGTGCTGTCATTTGTTTTATTTTCCCCAAAGAAAAGCAATCCATGACAGCCAGCAGGCCTTGGTCAGCTCAAAAACCAGATTGATGCAGGGAACAGATAGGAAAGCTTTTTCAGTTTCTGTTAGTAGTTATCATTGACAGGGACAAGTAAAGATGGAAAATAATCTATAATTATAAAAGGGTAATATGCTAATTAGACTGGATGGCCGAACGACCTTCTGGACATCCTTCCTGACCGACCTTCTGGTCGAAGCCGGGGCTGCGAGGGCCAAACGTTTTGCACAAATTTCGTGCATTGGCCCTCTAGTTGTGAAATAAGACACTGGCCTTGGTTTGCACAGTTTCAATGTCCTGATTTACAAAAGTAGGCATTTCCAAGTTTGACATTTCTCTGAGCTCTATGATTCCCATAGGAAGAAAGGCTTTCTTGTTGAAGGGGTCAGGTACCCCAGGTGTTTCTGAAGAGCAGGGTAATTGTCAGCTCACATTTGAGGAAGCCTCCCAGGCAGGCTGGCCCTACCCAGCATGAGTCATGGTGTTGCTTATGTTCAACACTCCCACGAAGCAACCCTTCCACCCCTCCTGTCCACTGGGTGTGTCATACACAACCTCCGTCACCCAGGGAGTCTTAAGGACATACGACTCAGGCCCACATCAGTTGATAATCGTGATCTGTTGCCATCACAGCTGCTAATAACAGTAGTGTGAGAAGGCAGTGTTTTAGGACTTAGTCACATACTTTATCTCCTTGAATCCCCAGCATCCTTGTCCGTGAGCCTTAGTCCACTCGTGAAAAATGAAGGCAACAAACAAACATGACTCACAGGGCCCTCGTGAGACCTGCTGCTGTCAGCACTCGGGGAGCTGCAGTTTGCTCTCCTTGTAACAACCTCAGGACCTAAGAACGATGATTACTTCCGTTTTGTGGTTGAACTGCACTTGTGCTCACGGAGGGTACATGAAATGCCCAGAGCAGAAGGTAATAGCATCTAGTTCTGGTTTCTGAATCTAGAGGTTCTGACTAATTTCTTATTCTTTTTTTGTAAACACCCTTATGTCAGGTCTTGTACCTTCTTTTGTCAAGTTAGGCTCTCAAGTTAGGCATCCAAGACAATTACTGATAGCTTACTAATCTGTTCCCATGTCCTCATGGGATGCTGTCAAGGACCCTGGCCATCCCTGCTCTGCACCCCAAGGCTTTCCATCCCAGAGAACATTCTGATTGTGACTTTTAAGGGATCACCTCCCAATGTGTTTTGTTTCTTCATCTATAAAAAGAAAGGTTTGAGGAAGTAAGCTCTGATTCTATTGTTCCATAACATCCACGTGTGGGAGCAGAGGTCTGGAGACACAGGACCCGAGTTCAAGTGTTGTCTCTGCCTCCAGTTAGCTGAGTGACTCTGAACAGATTACTCAACTCCAAGTCTCAATAGGCCCCTCTTAAAACAAAAAGGTGGTTATGTACAAGGTGACCAACCATATCATTTATTGTCTAAACCAAGATGCTTAGGAGAGTGAAAAGGGGCCACAAATAATTAGGCTGGGACAACAGGTGTATTCTGGAATTGACCAGGGCCAATCAGGCTATGTGGCTCCCTGGTTATGAAAATACTGTCACCACAGATTTGCTGTCAATAGCCAGATTCCACAGCAGCCAGTCGGTGGAAGTGCTTTGTAAATGGAAAATTGCTATAAGCACATGGAAGTGAAATAATGATGTGAATTCCATGGCTCCCAGAACTTTTTTTGATCTGCAGGTCCCTGATTCTCCTTAGGATTCAAAAGCCTGGCTCCTTCCTAACTCTCAGGGCTCTTTTGAGAATAAATGAGATCATATGTAGCTTGGACTATGATCAGAAAGGGAGAAAACAGGTTAGAGAATAGATAGTTGGAGCTGAGTGTGTTTTATTGAAAGAAAAAAGAGCAAGGAAGTAAAAGCAAAACAGAAAGTGATTTAGAACGGCAAACACAGGATGTGCTGAGCAGTGAGAGATCAAGGCATTCCTCCCATCTGCATTGACTCATCTATGCCCAGCCTCACCCCAAGATGTAGAAAGCCACGAAGTGAGGTGCTGATGGGGGACCCATTTGCTATAAATGCTTCTTGGGGCCATGACTGTGGGTTTCTACAGAAACCAGTGGTTCTCAAGGTTGGCTGCATTTCCAGATTGTTTGGGGAACTTTTAAAACTCCTGATGCCATACTGCTCCCCAGGCCAACTACATCCAAGTTCCTGTGGGTGGGGCCAGAAACAATTTTATACCCCCACCCCCAGGTATGGCTCTGCTGGAGAGCTTCTGAGTCATAGATGGAGGGGGGTCTGAGGGGGCCGGCAGTTTATGCCACAGCTGAAGTTGGTGGGCTGCCTGGTGCAGATTAATGTCCAGGACTTGCAACAGCCTCAGGGCGTCGTGATCAGGAGTGTGGCAGGTAGAGAGCTTGTGCCCAACCAGTGCTCAGCTAACAGATGCTAATAGCCACGGGACTCCAGAACCTTCAGTGCATGGGGTCAAAGAGTCATCTGTTCATAATGGGGAGGAAATAGAACGGAGTCCTGCGGATTGTCCGGCAGAAATGACTCGTCCCTCCATTTACTGAGTGATCCGGAAGGCTCTGACAGGGGTGCAGGGTCAAGCCAAGTCATGGTGACCCACGTGTGGTCATTTGACTTCCAGAACAGACGAGAGCCAGTCTCGTGGCACTCCCTCGCAGGCCCCTGCGGCCTGCTGGCTGCTCGGGCACGTTGGGCAGCTTGCCTAAGCCTGGGCTCAGCAGGCTTTTCATTTGCTTCATCACATTAAGCAAATGTTTTTCTTCCTCACCACCTCCAGCTTTTGATCTGCAGTCAATAATCCGATACACAAATTCATCTTCCCTGCTATGTCAGTGAGTGCGTCTTTTCCTGTTAACACACCCATGGGAGGGCTAGTGTCAGATATCGGCTGAGGCACATCTCAGGTGCCGTTCAGCATGTAGTGGGAGTGAGGACCGGGGATCTGCAGATGCACTGGTGTCAGCTGCTGATTTCCTACTGACTTGTGTTTTTTGTCTGAGTGCTAGTTGACTTCACCCAGCAAAGAGCCCAAAGATTTAGACAGGTCACAAGCTTCTCATTCTTGAGCTGCTGGGTGCTAGGCCCATGTTCGTGGCAGGAGGTACAATGGAAGA